TTGCTTGCCTTTGAATCTTTTTTGAGCCTCTGTTACCTGCCTGTTGAGCTAAGCTTCCCATGATAGATCTGAACAAACCCCCCAAACTCTGGACTTACTAGCTTTTATCTTATTAAGAAAGATATTTAATCACACTATCACATATGATGGTGTTATGAAAGAAAGGATTATGATGCCGCAAGACTGTCTTAAGAGAAACTTCCTCTAAGTAATTCCAGGAATTACTTGAAGAAATTATAATTGACCTGTGGCTTGAAGGTAGAGAAAAAGTTTGAGTATGTTTTAAACAGAGGGGATAACATGCATAGTCTGTGGAAAGAGGTGTTTTGGGTACTGCAGGGAGAGTGGCTGTGCACAAAGTATGCACGTGCCAGACTAAGCTGCAGAGATGGAGAGAGGTGCATGTGTAAGTCCCCACAGTAGGGTTCCTCAGTGTAAGGAGGGAGTAAATGAAGTCTTCTAATGACACAGTTTATATGATGTCAGAAAGCTTTTTGTTCTACCATGTAGCTGGAGAAGGGCTTTCAGTGGAACTACAGTGGATGAATGTAGGCTATTGGGAGGTTGTTACAGCTACAGTGGTTGTTTGGATCACACGTAGAAACACTGCAGAAGCCGGGCAGTGGTGGCACACACCTTTAATCCCAGCACTCGGGAGGCAGAGGCAGGTGGATCTCTGTGAGTTCGAGCCCAGCCTGGTCTACTAGAGCTAGTTCCAGGACAGGCACCAAAGCTACAGAGAAGCCTTGACTCGAAAAACCAAAACCAAAACCAAAAAAAGAAACACTGGAGAAAACAGTGTTCAGAAATATTTAGGGGGCAAAATGAGAGCAGTTTCTGTTGAGTTTCAATTAGACGACAAGAGAAGTTGATATTTACTAGAATAAAGAATGAAAAAAAGTGAGTTTTAGGGACAGAACCCACTATTCTAATTTGGATTTTTGGTGGAGACTTCGGTAAACAGTTACAAACACTATTTGGGGGCTTGGGTTAGAAATAAGAATTTTCCATTTTCCAAGTGAATTATGCTAATTTTATTTTTACATACTATCTTTGACTTTGTATCACATGTGTTTTATAAAAGTCAGTCACATTTTCTGAAAGACATTTTGATTTTTGTAGATCTTGTAAAGTTATTTTTTGGTCTATGAAAGAAAACTGATTCATGAATTTTATTCTCTTTCCTTGTGCCCTATGGCTCAGGCCTTGAAGGAGATTTACCTGGAGGCCTGCTCAGCTGCTGCTCTGGGAGAGACTGTGGGCTTTTGTTTGGGTTTTGGATTTTGATTTTTTGAGACAGGGTTTTTCCATGTAGCCCTGGCTGTCCTGGAACTCACTCCTGTAGAGCAGGCTGGCCTCGAATTCAGTGGTCCACCTGCCCCTTGGTTAAAGGTGTGCACACCTCTCCTCTACCCCCACCCCCAGCTGAGGTGCCAGTGGTTAGAGAGAAAACTACTGAGGCCACAGCGAAGTAGTTGAATTGGTGTAAGCTCTGGTGTGGTGTCCTGGGAGTTTGAAGTTGATGCTTCTATTTCGGGAGGCTTCTGTGTCAAGTAGTTTTCAGGCCGTCTAGAAGCAAACACAGGTGGTGTGCATATAGTGTGCCCTAATATCCACTTCTTCAGGGACCCACTTGGACTAAGAACTACTGCTTCCAGGGATTTTTAGATACCACAGAATTATGGAATTATAATCTTTAATGGTGACCTTAGAAATAGAAGGTTGGTGTTACTGTGAGAGCTATTGTAGACACATAGACAAAGGCAGTATTGGCACTGGTCTAGAGAGGAGAGAGAAAGCACAGTTTCCCACCAGTTTTGCCTTTAAAGATGAAGGCATTGTCTTATGGTTTGCTGCCTTCTACATTTTTGCAGATTTTCCCCCAAGTTGCTATTATTGTCCTGTTTAGGGAAGCTGAAAAGGTGTAAGAATGCAGGTCCTGGTCCCAAAGGACAATGATCATATAGCCTGAGTCATCAATTAGCTGTGTCTCTGGCTGTGTGTGGGGAGTGGGTGGTAATGAGAAGGGCAGAACAACTCAGAGAAAATGAAGGAACCCAATTCAGAGCCTTGCTGGACTCGAGCCTAGGGTTCTCTCACCCGTTCTTCTAGGAATCACGTGTGTTTGGCAGAGGCTTTCTGTCATATGAGAAAAGGAGGCTCAGAGAGGTGATTTATGTTTAATGTCACCTACCTAGTGAAGATACCACATGCCTTATGGAGAGATATCCTAGCTCAGTGTATTCTATATTGCTGAAAGGGCTATGGAGAATAAGGAGACTATGACTAAGTAATTTTTGGAAATACTGTGTTAGGCATTTCTGTCACAGAGCTCAGGCCCTGTGAAATGGTCATGTTTCGTTAAGAAGCTATGAAAAGATAGGTGGGATATTGTGGCCTGTATGTACCCTTGCCATCCACTTCGGGGCTGGCTGTAGATGGTAGTATATAATGCCTGTTTGCAGGGCTTCAGTGCTGGGGAGGATGCATTACAGTTGTGCCTTGAGCTTTTGCAACCATGGTGGGCTTTGAATGTTACTGAGCAGTTAGGTGAGGCAGCGCAGCTCTGGAAGCTGTTACTGTACTTAGTGATTGCATACTGTGCCCAACATGTTTGGCCACCCATCCTTTACAAGCCAACTAAAAGCCAATTTAATAATGAAAAGCAGAAAAAGGGAATTTATTCAGTGTGGCCACATTACAAAGGTTGGACTTGAGGGCAGTTGTCACTGAATCTTTGTCCTCCTCTCAATCGGCTCTTTTAATTGGCTTACTGAGGACAGGTGGCTTGTTGGAGCATGGGCTGTTAGCCCCTAGCTTCCTCCCGGAGACTCTGCTACTTGTCATGAAGACAGAAACTTCCCTTGAAAGAGCTAGCTCTCCTGTGTGACTGTCCTTGGGGATCCTTGGGGAACAGTCCTAGGCCCTCCACTTTTCTGAACCTGTGTGTAGCCCATGCTTGCATAGGGTAAGTTGGGGAGACTTGGCTGAAAGAGACAGAGCACCCACCTGGCAGACCCTCCACAGGGTCTGAAAACTGGGGCACACAGTTGAGGGCTCCAGCAGAATCTCCCTTTCTCATCTGTTTTGCTCCATGCTGGTAGGTTGTCCTCATGCTGATTGTCTCACGGCTGTAGCTGTTACGACATTATGTGTCACAGCTGCATTGGAAGAGAGTAAGTAGTTTGGTCAGTTTGGACTTTGTAACCAAAAGGCTGTTTTCTCAGTTGGCTTTGTCCATTTCTTAATCCACAGAGAGAAATATTTTCTTGGTAGTTTCTTGTTTATTAAATTAGGGTTATGTGGTTACCCCTGGCTTTGGATAGGTGGGAAAGATTTGGTTGGCATAGATGGATTATGGTGTGTTCTATTGGGCACACTATTCTATTTTTGGTAAGCTAGCTTTGTATTTTGTGTGCATGCGTGTGTCTGTCTGTCTTCTATTTAACCATCTATTGAAGGACATCTGGATTTTTCTAGCTTGTGCCTATTATGAGTAAAGCTAATATGAATGTTTATATAGACTTTTCTTCCAGTTTAAGAATTACGATAAAGTATATATAATTGATCACATTAGCCTTCTTGAAGTAAAATGGCATTAGGTACATTTGTTTTGTTTCATAGCCACGAGGCTCCTTCATCTCTAGACCTCTTTTATCTTGGAAACAAACTCTGCGTCAATAAAACAATGACCCCTACTTCACTCCCTGGATAGAACTGTTCTGCTTGCAGCTCCGTAGCTTCACCATCACTACACAGCTCACATGAGTGGAACAATATTTGCCTTTCTATGACAGGAGAGCATTGTAAGTTTTTGTGTGAACATAACCTTTCATTTCTGAGATAAATGTACAAGAGTACACTTGCCGGAATCTGTTGACAGTTGCATGTTTAGGGGTTTTTTTTTTTTTTTGGCTTTTTTGCTTTTTTTTAAAAATTTTATTTAAAGAAATCACCAAACTAGCTGGGCTGTGGTGGCACAGGCCTTTAATCCCAGCACTTGGTGAGTTCGAGGCCAGCCTGGTCTACAAAGCAAGTTGTAGGACAGCCAGGGCTGTTATACAGAGAAACCTTGTTTCAGGGGAGTATATATCACCGAACTTTCCCTAGAGTGGCAGATCCATTTTACATTCTGTCCAGCATTATTTAGGTCAGTTTCTACGGAGGTGACTCTGGCCATCATGGCATGTCATGCCAGTTTCTTTGGAAAATAATGGCTCTAGCAAGTCTCCAACTCGACTGTGTTCATGTGCATGAAAACATCATGACTCTGAAGAGAAGATTGAGATCTCTCTCACAAAAGCAGAGCTGGGGAGAAAATGCAGTTGTTGAGAATGTGGCATTGCTAGTAAAAAAGTGAAATTGCGCTGCCACCCTGGAAAAGGGTTTTCTTAAGAAAATGAAGCATGGTATCCCTCATGGAGCAGCGGTTATACTCTGGGCAGTCCCAACCCAGTGTGTCCACTAAATCGAGTAGAAGGCTCAGTTGGGAATTGTTGCGTTATTTAGTCTTGGCCATTTGCAAAGCAGCCTCAGCAGCATCTGCTGCACTAAATAAATGAAAGTTTCCTGTCTCTAATTTCCCCTGTCTCTTCCCTCTGTCCTGGGTTCATGCGTTTGTTCCCTCTGCTCTTTAAACCCACTGATGTCCTCTCCCCCTCCCACTGGTCCTCTCGGACCTTCTTGCCCCCATCCTTGCTCTCATTCTGTGGATCCCTTCAAGTTACTGCTGTAGTTTTCTTTGCTCTCTCTCTCATGGAATTAGAACTTTCTTCTAGGTGTACAACATTTACTCAGCATCTAGAATACATTTTCCTTCTCATTCCACCTTATATTTATCCTGCTCTTTGGGCAGACAATGGGTTCCTGTCGCTAGTAATTCTTATCTTTTAATGGGGGGCATTAGAATTTAGAGGGAGAATTTTAAGGTTTGGTGTACTACTTTTTCTTCCCATTTTTTTTAAAATTAAAATTTATTTTTATTTATTTTTTATTCATAGGGAAGAAGAAGAGCGTCTGAGAAATAAGATCAGAGCTGATCACGAGAAGGCCCTGGAAGAAGCAAAAGAAAAATTAAGAAAGTCAAGAGAGGAAATCCATGCAGAAATTCAAACAGAGAAAAGTAAAGTAGCCCAAGCGATGAAGATAAAGGAGACCAGGGTACTGCCACCTGTCCCTGTCCCACAGCGTGTGGGGGTCAGTGGTGGAGACCCCGAAGACACTGAGATAAGGAAGAAAAGAGAAAAAATTAAAGAGGTAATAGCCGAGAGTGGTGATTTGGCGTGCTTGCAGATACGTATCTGACTGAATGTTATGTAGTGTTACACACTCATTGTGTTTGTTCTTCCGTAATTGTAATTCAGTGCCCAGGCTGATAACAGGGATTGGAGTGCTGTCTTTTTCTTATTGATCATAATCTAAGTTTTTGAAATAAAAAATTTAATTCAAGTTTGTTTAGATGGTTCCTTTACCTTCACTGTGTTAGAGCTCTTTTGAAACACAGGCCTTTATAATGAGTAGAATGTAGAATCTGTGTATACATTCTGTTTATTGAAAAGCAATTTAAAACATTCAGTTTGAAGGAGCTGTACCAGATACTGTGCAGATCCTGTCACAGACAAGACTGTAAACAATTGGTGCTGTAGGAGCCATGTTTGAGGGACTGTGCTATTAGGACCATGCTCCTTCCAGAGATTCTTTATGGATTGAAGGATAGAAAAAGATTAATTTCAAAATTCTTTAAATTTTTTAGCCTCAGAAGTCTTTCAAGTTCTAATTCTAGATTTACCAATTAAGAATTACTGATTAAGATAGTACAAGCTCTAGTGAATTTGAGTTAAACTGTATTAACTGGGGCTCCTGATAATTGTGAGTATAGTTTACCGTTATACTGCTTGAGAAGAAGCTTCACCAGGTGTACCTCTAGAATAAATTTAATTTATACAGTCAAGTATCTCTCTTTATATATATATTAAACTTGGTCTGGCAGTGTTTCTCACTGCTTTAACATGATATTTGATAGTAGCTACAAAAAGAAGGGAGGGAGGGAGGGATGGAAGGTAGGTGGGTGTATTTTGGCTCACAGTTTGAGAGGACCTTGCTGTGTCAGGGATGGTGAGATGGCTAGCCAGTCGTATCTGAAGTCGGGAAGCGAGAGAGATGAATCCTGAACTCAGCTGGCTTTTTCTCTCCCCCACTCCTTCCCGGCTTTGAACCAAGTGGAAGGGATGGTGGTGCCACTCACTTTTAGCTTGGGTCACTGGAAACACCCTCACAGACATAGCCAGAGTTGTTTCTAAGTGGTTCCTTATTCCTATCCTTTGAACAAGGGCATTAGGCATGGCTGATTCTAAGTCTGTAATATGCACTTGTCTCTTGTCTCTTTCCTTTCGTTGCTTAATTTTGTTAAGAGAGAGTTCGCCACTTAGGATTAAATTATATTACATAAACCTTGAGATCATATAATGAGATAATCTCCTTACTCTTAATGACTATACTCATATGAATACAAAGGACTTGATTAGCCTACTTGATCCATATACCTTTCCAGTCACTGTGATTAGAGCAAGGATTGGCAAATTACAACCTGTGGGGTAAATTTCTTTCACTTGTTTCTTTTTGAGAAATCAATTTTAGTTAGAATATACACATGGCAATTTGGTTACATATTACCTAGGATTGGCCTTGTGCTTCTGCAACACCAAATCTTCTGGTCTCTGGCTTAAAGGTAAGAGATTGTGTAATCAGGCTGAATTAGTTGGTGGTGGAAGCAAAGCCCCTTGACTGACAACCTGGTCATTATCACAGTGAAGATAGACGAGCTGTTTTCCAAAATATTAGCAGTTTACAAAAGGAACGAATACCAAATAGCTACCTTTCTTCCCCCAAATAACTTTTTGATTACATCTAACTTTTTTTGTTGTGTAGATTGTAATTAAATGTAGGTATTAGAGTTTCTGTTGCTGCGACAAAACACCATGACCAAAAGGCAAGTTGGGGGGGGGGGGCGGGAAGGGTTTATTTGGCTTATACTTTCATATTGCTCTTCATCATTGAAGGAAGTCAGGACTGGAACTCAAACAGGGCAGTATCCTGGGGACAGGAACTGATGCAGAGGCCATGGAGGGATGCTGCTAACTGACTTACTTCCCTAGCTTGCTCAGTCTGCTTTCTTAGAGAACTCAGGACCTCCAGTCCAGGGATGGCATCATCTACCATGGATTGGGCCCTCATCTATCAGTTGCTAATTAATAAAATGCCCTACTGCTGGGGAATCATTTTCTCAATTGAGGTTCCCTCCATTCACATAACTCTGGCTTGTGTCAGGTTGACATAAGAGTAGCCAGCACAGTAGGTATTGGAAACAAGTGGTAATTGAATAATATGCTAGTGCAGGAAACATGGCAGCATGGATAAAGATAGAATAACCCAACTCTACACTGTATGAAGTAAAATAGTCCATAGATAGCTTCAAATTGTGTATTACAATTTTTCTCTTCTCAGATGATGAAGCATGCCTGGGATAATTACAGAACATACGGATGGGGACATAATGAGCTCAGACCTATTGCAAGGAAAGGGCACTCCACTAACATATTTGGTAAGGCAACTTTTTCGAATTACTGTTTTTTCTTTATTTTTGAAAATGAGACCTGTTTTTTTTTTTTAAAGTTCTCTCCAAGATCTCTATTTCTGTGCGATGATAATTTGAACTTTTTGTTGATGAGGTGAGGGAATTATTAGGAACATATGAACAAAATGGTATTTAGCTTATGTACAAAGAAGATAAAATTATATTTGTATATATAACTTAAGCCATTGAAGGAAAAAATTAGTCTTACTCCCATGCCCAAAAGAGAGAGAAAGAGGAAGAAAGAAATGAAAGACTAGTAGGTTGTTCTGTGTGTTCAATTGGGTTTGCTTTGTGCAGTTCATTTCAAAATCAGGATTATTTGTTAAAGGTGATGGTGTCTTGTATTTTGGTTTTCTCTGTGTGTATTTTATTTAATGGCTTCCTTTTTCTCTACCTGTTTTTTTATTATTAAAGAACATTAACACTTTACTATGCTTAGCGTTATCTAACCTTATAAATTATATATATCCCCTCTTGTTTGAGTTTGAACCGGAATGCTCATGCTGTGACTTAGCTTGTCATCTTGAATGGCTGTCCTCTTTCCCTGAATCCTTCCCACCTACATTTTTCATACCTTACTTAAGTATATATTTATCTACTGTTAGTTTTTATTTTTTTATTAGCTCCCAAAATTTTGTCTTTTATAAACTAGATCAAACTGTTTCTATTACCTGGTCTGATAGAAAAGTGAGCAATGACATTCTTTTTTGATCGTTATAATGCTTGATTAACTTTTAATATATACAAAACTAAAAATTGATCTCCTATGAAGGGGATGTTTTTGACAACAGCTATGTTTTCCTCTTAAATATAGGAAGCTCACAGATGGGTGCCACCATAGTGGATGCGTTGGATACCCTTTATATCATGGGACTTCATGATGAATTCATGGATGGGCAAAGATGGATTGAAGACAACCTTGATTTCAGTGTGGTGTGTATACTTTGGCAGTTCATCTAATTCCTTAAATTAATGATGAAAGGACAGTTTTAATGCTCTGGTATGAATATTTGTGTTCTCCCAAATTCTTGTTGAAATCTAGTCACTAATGTGTTGAAAGGGTATTTGGGAAGTGATGAGTTAGTTCATCAGGACAGAGTCATTATGGACATAATTAGTTCCTGTATAGCATAGTTCTCAGAACTACTTTGCTCGTGCATGAGAGGTCACATAAGCACCATTATGAACCAGTTGAATGGCTCTCATCAATCACTGAGTCTGCTGGGACTGTTTACCCTGGACTTCCTAGATCTCAGGAAGGTGAGGAATATATTTCCAGAAGTTGTCAGTTACATATGGTACGTGGTGCTTGAGAATAGCAGGTCTCATTGTTTGTAGGTATCAGTTCTGCTCTGAGCATGTTCTCAGCAGTTTGTTGAACCCATGTTAAGTCCTTATTCTTCTTTTGGGGCTTATCATTTGTTTTGTTATTTTTGTGTAAATACTCATCCTTTCTCACTATCTTTTCATATTTCTTGCAATTATCATTTAAGTCAGTGTCTTAGCCAGCTAAGGACATAGCAGGGAGAGGCAATGAACTAAAGTCTAACAAACTGGTAACTGCTTTATTAATACTAATTTTATAGCATTTATAGTAATAGTGGTAGAATAGTAGACGACATCCGATTAGAGTAAGTAGTGGCGGAGTATTGCTGACTATTGAGGACTTCCTTATTAATGTGACATTTCTGAGAAGATAGTCCAGGAAAGCCATGTGCATGTGGCTGTAAGGCTTACTGTTAATAGATAGAATTAGAGGTTTGAGATTATATTCTTTTGCCTTTTAAAAGCATATGCCTATCATCTTGCTTGTTATACTGTATTGAAATGTCTATTAGTCTCGTTGTTAAAAGGTGATCTGCCTTTCCCTCTTACTTCCCCACAGTGCTCTCTAATTCTGTTAGCACATGAACTGTTGTTCAAAGACTCAAAATGAGGGTTTTTATTTTCATTAACTTTGTAAAATTCTGTCATTACTTTACCTCTCTGCTTGGTCCCTGTTTCTTCTTTCTCTCCATTTAGAATTTTTCTTACTGTCTCTCTCTAGTGAGAGAAGACAAGAATTTTACAAATAACTATACAGCAATAAATGATGTAAATATTACTTGTAATATAGTGTGGGGTAAAAGCTATTACTGATGACTGACTGCTATTTTAAATCCAGTAGCCAGAATACACTCTGCTAGGTGATATTTTTGTTCAGAGGTCTGTAAGAGGTGATAGAATGATTCACACAGTGAGATGAGGGAATGCGGTCAGCTAAGGGAGTTGTAAGGATAAAGTGACATCAGGCCTCAAGTCTGCCATCCTGGGACTAGCAAGCAGGCCCATGTGATCATGTCAAACAAAAGAATCTTAAATTAGTTAGGTGGCAGAAAAAGTGTGAGGGATCTGAACATAATGGATCTTAGTGGGCATTTTACTCAAAGAGCAACAAGAGGCTGTTGGAAGAGGTTGAACAGAGTAGACTTTTAAACTGCTTAGACTATAGGGCACTGAATATGATGTTGAGTTTTGGGCCATACGACTTAAGTATAGTTTTAGGCTGCTTTTTTTTTTTTTTTTTTTTTTTTTTTTTGTCTTAAGGGTCTTGGGTAAGACAGAGACAGACTGAGAATTTTTCTCTCTTGAGTTATGGTCAAAAGTGTAATTAAAATAAAACAAAAACCCTAACTTATAGAGCCCCATTAAACATGCAATATAGAGAGGAGGGTATGTACGAAAGTGAAAGCAGAGAAGTGAGTATGAAGGCTATTGTTACCATTTGCTGTTTACTGAATGTCTACTGCATGACCTATTGTTTGCTATATATTGGAAATACATGAATTGATCTTAAGCACTGCTTGCAGGGGTAGTGGTAGAATGAAGGATGCCTCAAGACTAACATGGAGCACTATCATGGAGTCCCTCAGTTTCCTATTGACTCTTGCTCAGCTCTGTGTGTCTCCTTGCTATTCTTCTGAGAGGAGCATTGCTTGAGGCAGGCGTCCTGACCTCTAATGTATGAGAGAGGATGTATCTCAGCTCCACACATTTCATGACTCCTTTGACTTCATTTGAAATGTTGCAGCCAATGTGACCACCTGGGTGGCTGGGTGTCTACATTAGGGCTGCATGTGGAGATGTGGAGGCCAGCACACATCTTCCTTGATTGCTTAGTGCTCTCTACCTTAAATAATGTGTTAAGGTCTCTCACTTGAACCCACAGCTTACCTATTCAGCCAGTCTAGCTAGCTCTCCCATCTCTGCCTCCTGTTTGCTGGGATTTCATGGAGGACTGCCATACCTGTTTGGCATTTATGGGAGAGCTAGGGATCTGAACTGCAGTCCATATGCTTTCATGATGATTTACCTGATGAACCATCTTCCTAGCCCCAGAAATTTCCCAATATCTAAGCCTATATATAGCATATCGATTCTCTTATATGGAATGTTTATCTATACCGGGCATCGGATCCTCTGGGCCTCGAGTTATAGACACTTCTGAGCTTCCATATGGGTGCTGGAAATTGAACCAGGTCCTCTGAAAGAGGTTTTGTCTATTGCTATTTATTATAAAAACTTTTTTACATTTATATATGTATGTATGATTCATTGTGAAAGTAGAGATCGTTGGATAGCTAGTAAGAGTCTGTACTCTCCTTCCACCTTAAAATTCTACAAAATTGTTTGTATATTACATAGGTAAATATTTGTGATAAATTTGCTTTAGTTTGTTTGTCTTTTGCTTATGATCTTTTGTTTATGATAATTTGCATTTTAGGGAAATTTAAAATTCATAACTGATTTATTACACAATTTTGATTTTATTCTTACACATTATCTGCTTAAGTTTGTAAGTTGTCACATTTTTTTCTACTTCTGTATTTTAATTTTAAATTTCTAAACATTTGTTTTTCCTTTTGGTGTATATATGCTGTGAACATCAACTTTGGTTTCTGACAGGAGCTGGTTTTCAGGAGTTTTGGTTCATTAACCATAATTCTCCTGGTTTTTGGCCTCTCTTTTAATAATTGTTATGTTATTAGGCACTAGAAAAATATTTAGTATTCATAAGAAGAAATAGAAATAGAGTTTGTGATATAATAATTAAAAATAATGGAATCATTAGAGAAGCTTCTTTTTTTAGGATTCATGATCCATTATTTAGGAAGTGGAGGCCTTCAGAAGGGCCAAAGGTAGCCAGTGGTAGTAGTAAGGCAATAAGTTTACAGTACTGTGTAGAGTCCATCTAAAGGGTCCATTGATTTTGGCACTTAGGAAGCTGTGGTGACAGGCATAGAGGAACTTTGCTGAACTAACAAAAGATGAGGTTGCGTGGCATGAGAAATGAAAATACAGAATATTAAGACATTTTTTTTTGTGTACAATTGAAGTACTAAAAACATTTGAAAATTGTAATGTATTTTGTGTATGTGTTTTTACTTTGTCTCCCCAGAATTCAGAGGTGTCTGTGTTTGAAGTTAACATTCGGTTTATCGGAGGTCTCCTTGCCGCATATTACCTGTCAGGAGAGGAGGTGAGTAGTCAAGAAAACACCCGTGCATTTGGCCGAGCAGGGCCATGGCTGGCAGTGAAATGGAGTACTTGCCTAGTGGCGCTGTTTTCTAGTTTGAATGTTACTAAACTAACCTAGGATTTTCTATTAGGACAAATTTTAGAATCTGCTTCACTAGTGTTTTACAAAATGAAAATGCAGACATTAAGGTTAGGGGATAGTTTGGAGGAGATCTGTTCTTTCCTTCTACTATGTAGGTTCTGGGAATTGAAGTCAGATAATTACCCTGGTGGCAAACATCTTTATCTCACATGTATACCTGAGGAGGACTAAAATTAGTGTTGAGTATTGTCTTATTCTTTCCACCTTATATATCGAGGTGGCATCTCAGCTCAAAATCTGTAGATTTGGGTAGTCTAATGAGCCAGGCTGCCCCAGGGAATACTATACAAACATTGGTATTAGATGGGCTGTCATGCCCACCTTGCTTTTTCTTTTTTTTTTTTCTTTTTTTGGTTTTTCAAGACAGGGTTTCTCTTTGTAGCCCTGGTTGTGCTGGAACTCATTCTATAGACCAGACTGGCCCCACCAGACATGCCTGCCCCTGCCTCCCCAGTGCTGGTATTAAAGGTGTGTCACCACTGCCTGAGCCCACCTTGCTTTTTAAGTGGTTTCTGAGAATCTAGACACTAGCCTTCACACTTGTACAACAAATGTTTTGCCCTCTGAGCCATCTCCTAGCCTCCATTTTTTAATTTTTGTGTTAATCGGTTTGTGTGTTTTGCATAAATAATGCTGGCTTCTTAAAATGAATTGCACTCTTCTTTTTCTCTGGTAAAGTTTGTATAAACTTGATTCTTTGACTTAAAAAGTAGAATTTCCTTATGAGGCAACTTAAGCTTTGATTCTCCCTACCCTCACAGTTTTTAATACGTTCAATTTATCTGGCAGATATATAACATGGTTGAAAATGAAATGTGTTTTATCTTTACACAAAACAGTACATGATTCTGTGTACTTACACAGTGATGCCCCATCAGACATGCCCAAGTATTGGTCTCATTTCATCGCTGGAAAATTGGCAGTTTTGAGTAGAACGTTTAAGGAGGTTGCTTTAAACAATGTTGTGAGGGGGAAGTTTAGGGTCAATAGAGGTGGGCAGAATATCCAAGATTGGGCATTTTGTTTTTTAACTGCCTGGGGGAAATCTAGTTCCCACAAGCTTTCTGAAGAAGGCAGCCTCTCTTGACCTGGGAAGAAGAGTTCAGACATCCTGGTTGGCTGTAGGCTGAATCAGAGTATGGAGTTGAGTAGCAAAAATTGTAGACTCGGTCCAGAAGACTAAAAACATGTTTGGTGATCTTGGGGGGGACTAAAGCGTGAGCTGTAAACACCAAACTTTCCAACTCTGAGTGAAAAATTCTTTGCAAGATTAAAATGGAAGTCTAGATCTAGAGCCTGGCTTTTTTCCAGGGCTCAGAGAGAAAGCACTAAATACTAGCCCCTCTGGTAGTCAAAAGGGAAAGCTAGAATTGTAGACCAGGAGATCCATAGGCCATAGTGACCACACTCACACCACTCTTGAAGCCCTGTGCCAAAGTCATGGTCTAAAATGAAGTGGTAACTATAATACAGAGTTTTGTAAGTTCTACTTGATAACATTTAAATCACTGTTTTTCTATTTTGTCCTTTTCCTATGGAACTGTTCCCAGTCTGTTTCAGGGTGAAGGGCAGGGCAGAAATAATCAGAGAGAATGCTGAGGGCAGTAAGTGGGACAACAGCTGAGACTGGATCTAACTACCCACCCTCACTTATTCTATAGAAAGAGTTCCTTTCCTCTCCCTTTGCTGGACATAGGGCCTTGGGATAAAGGCCATGCAGAAGCAAAATGAAGAAACAGCACAGCACATTCCATTTTTCATGCTTAAACCTTTTCCAACAAAGAACAAGGAAGTTGAGAAGACTGTATGTAGGAAGAGAACAGCCTGGGCGAGACAGTTTACCTATGAGTTATACACCCCTTTCAGATTTATTTATTTTATGTTTTGCCTGCATGTATGTATGTGTATGAATCATGTACCTGCATGCCTGGTACCAAGGAAGTAAGAAGAAGGTATTGGATCTTGTAGAACTGGAGTTACTCTGATTGTTAGCCATTATGTGGGTGATGGGAATGGAGCCCAGGTCCTCTGCCAGAGCAATAAGTACTCTTAATGGCTCGGCCATCTTTCCAAACACATACACCAGCTCCTTTAAAAATGTTGGGACAGGTCTCACAAAGTTGCTAAGGAGACTAAAGTTTCCATCTCTTGCCTTAGCCTTTTGAGTGGCTGGACACGCAGGTGTGTGCTGTTATTAGCCTAGCTTAAGGGCTTTGTTGGGGGCATTTTGGAAATAGCTGCTCCTTGTTCTTACACACAGTGTTTAATTTATTCTCTTCTCGTGCCTGGCTCTAGACCTAACTGAATCGTATGGGAGAACTTTGTAATGTTATCCTCTCAATTCTTTTCTTTCTTTTTTGTTAGGTCTTTTAAGTCTTATGCTAAAATCCATAATATGTTGCTATAATTTTTTACTTTCGATGTCAGCTACATTGTAGAGCTATTCAGTGTAAAGGGAGACACTTTTTATTGACCTAAATTTTAGTGAGTTTTGTTAGTCTTTATTTTTGTTTATTGATTCTGTATTTTATCCTTTTGTGTAATGAGCCTCCTAGAGCATTTTAAAAGTCAATCTGCTACTAGTGAATCTTTCTGTTTTTGTTAATCTTGGTCTTTATTTCTTCCTTATTTTTTATTTTATTTTATGTTTTAAACATAATTTTTATTGATCCTTTTCCCAGTTCCTCTGTATCCATCATTCACCCCTGTAGTGGCCTCCTCACCAGAAAAATTTTAAAAGAAATAATAAAAATATAATAAAAATAAAAAAAAGTACAAATAAGAATATAGTTAAAAAACAAAAAAGCAAAAACACAGCAAGCAAACAAAAAACAAGAAAAACCACTTTGCTCCTTTATCTTTCCCTCCTCTCCATGACTTCTTCATTTGTTTTAGTGGCACTGCGAGCTGCTTCGTATCATGCAGTAGACTCTTGTCCAAACGGCTTCACTTGCCAATGTTCACTGCGTCGAGTATTGTCAGTCAAGTTCAAGGCCTCTGACTTCTGGTATACCGTCAATGCTGGACCCTCACCAAATCTCCTCTCAGATATCATACTATTGCCCCAAATCTTAGAGCTCCTGCGCCTATGGTTCCACAAGGCCGATCCCTTCATGTGCTCCAGCCCGTCATAGACGGGATAGATGTTGAGAGTTGTCAACTCAAAAAAACCCTCGGTGTGTGCCTGGGTGGTAGTTGAGTAGGTCATATTAGGCTGCTGGGACCACCTCCTCAGGTGAAGGGAGGAGCCAGCTATTCCAAGTGCAGGGGACTAGTTCTCCTATGAGGGTGAGAGCAGGATAAGCTCTCTCTGAGCCAGTGAGGGTCAGGACCAACTCAGCATAGCCATCATATTTCAACACATGGTTCAACCTATTATTCAACACATGGTTTGAATGGGTCCCTGTGGTAAGATGGCAATGGACATCAACACAGACCCCAGCTGCACCCGGACCACAGGCTCAGCCATGGTCAGCAACAGTAGCAGCTTGGTCCAGGTTGTCATCATTTGGGAGCTGGTTGGTGACCTAAAAGAAAAACCCTGGTAAACACTCACACACCTGCCCAAAGTGACTTGCTTTGGGTTGGAGAGGAGAAACTACAGGCCAGCCCTGTGCCTTGTAGCTCCAGGCTGTCAGGTGCCAACTGTGGTGAGCCAGTGTATGGTGTGGTATGGGAGAGAGAGGCAGAATGGCTCATTTCCTGTGGACAGACACAGATAAAATAGGAGAAGGCGGTGATGAAGGGGCTGAGGTGGGAGGCCTACTTGCTATCCAGGGTACATCCAGGCTGGGCTGCTGCCAAGGCCCTATTGCAGGTGGACAGTTTGTGCTGATGTCTGTGGCCCACGTTGCCACCAAAAGCCACAAGAATGCCCAGATTCTGGACTGCCACCTATGACCATGTTGGGATCTGAGGCATGTGTGCTGAGAGGGGATTTGTTGATCTGAGGTGCTGCCATGGGGGCCAGGCTCATTTCTGACTAGCTCTTTTACCTTAAATTAACCTGTTTGGGTGCTGGAGAGATAGCTCAGAGGTTAAGAACACTGGCTGCTCTTCCAGAGGTCCTGAGTTCAATTTCCAGTAACCACATGGTGGCTCACAACCACCCCTAATGACATCTGGTGCCTTCCTCTGGCCTGCAGGCTTATATGCAGGCAGAACACTGTTTCTATAATACATAAATCTTAAAAAAAATAGAAAAATGTTAACCTGTTTCTCTTTATCTACCTTTTGCCTTGGTCTTATTACATTTTCTGCATATCTTACTTTCACTGCTTCTCTACATCTGTCTGTCTGGTGGCTCTCTGACTTCTGGCCCCATTCATCTCTCTTGTTCTCTCCTTTCTCTCTCCTTTCTTTTTTAGTCTAGATTTCTCCTATTTATTCTTTCTGCCTCTACCCCTGCCTATCCTTTCTCTGCCTAGCTATTAACTATTCAGCTCTTTATTAGACTAATCAGGTACCTTAGGTAGGCAGAGTGAAACATATGCAACATATCTTTACATAGCTAAACACACATCCTTACATTGTTAAACAAATGTAGCATTAATAAAAGTAACACACTTTTACACAGTTAAAGTAGTATTCTGCAGCATAAACAAATGTAACACATCTTTACCTGGTTAAAATAATATTTCACATTTTTTCCTTTGTCTAAATGAAAAAGAAGGGTTTTTACCTTTACATAGTAAAGCTATATACAACAAGAACAATTATTAAGTAAGGATTATAGTCACAATATTCAGTCCATTTATATTTGGCAAATTCAGAGAAAATACTCCATTATTTATTGTATTTTGGTGATTCCAAAGTTTTGTACCTAATATACCTTCTATCATAACTAAGAAACATTATAA